ATGGTTCAAATATATCTTTATCTGGTGCAAATACCACATATGCACGATAAAGAAGAATAGATAAAAGTATTGAAAGTGCAATTATAATTGATTCCCAAAACATATCTTGAATGAAAAATACTCTGTATCAAGGTTATGTTTTTTTTACAAGATCGATTATATATAATTCAATGAGTTTCATGCCGAACTTGTAAACGAGTTTAAAGTCTAAGAAAAAAGTATATTAAAAATTTTTTAGAACAGAATATAAAACGAATATCATTGTACGTATTGTATTATGTTCTGTTATTATCTGAATTCAAGTCAAAGACATATGCGCTAGCTAAAATATAGGCTTTTCGGCTTCTATCCGATTAACCATGAAAAATATTTACCAATACTTCATAGATTTGTTTATCCATGTAAATTAAATTATATGTTTCATTGCATGCTTAATGAATACTGTTTATCTTGATAAATGTAAGCTCATTTAATACTCGAGAGCCAATAGTATTTTTTTCCTCTAAAACCAAAATACATTCCAAATCTCGTTCTCATTCTTCTTTTCGTTCTTTTTTTTGTTTTATAATATATTGATCGATAATAGTACATTAGTTTTTCTTTCAAGCATATAAAAATATATTTATATATGCACCTCATTCCTTTTTTTTGACTGGCTCTTCGTATTTACTCAAGCTACGTACGATAAAGTCATACAATAGGAGTGTGTAATAACAAACATACGTTGTGTATAATTGTCATTGTATTTTCATCCATGAAAACGATAGAAATTAACGTGAACTTAGTTTTTTTTTTATAGAAGAATATTAACAACCTAGACAATATTTGCTATAATTATTCACAATTTCAAGTATTTTTTCCTTTTTGTTTCTTATTTTTTATTGTTGGATTTTATTTAAAAGAAACGACTAATATGCATATAGAATTTGCCATATGAGACACCCCCTACGAGCTAGTCTGTCAATTGAAGCAAGAATGAAAAGAAAAGAGTGACAACCATGAAAAACGATGCATACATGTGTGTACATATCTACAGAAAAAAAAAACTTTTGATAGGTTGTATAAATGCTATAGAGGTGAAGTGAATTGGAAAGAATACAAAGAGAAAAAGAAAAAAAATAATGCTACGCCACCTTTTTTTTTACTTTCATAATCGTTGGTTCATGAACACAAAAGAAACAGAAAAAAAATTTGACGAGCGCTTTTTATTTTGATATTTTAATATTGTGAAGAACATGAGAAGGTAAGAACATGTAGAAATCGTGCATCAGTAACTTTATTTTTGTGATTCTATCTACTTTTTGGTAGTGCCTTAAATCTTTGAAAATAAATAGTAGATAAATTATTGCATAGAAAAAAACTCAGAATATAATTTTTTTTTTCGTTGTATTTACTCGTGACAACTAAACATGCCTTCTATCGATGTTTGACTAATCAGAAATAAAAACCCTTTTTCTTTTTTCTCCGTTCACGAGATCTATTATTTATTGACACAATTTTTTGATTCATAAGATTTATAAAAAAAATATACTATAATTTTAATTTTGCTTTAGTTATCTAAATGGATTTATTTATTTTTGGTAATAATTTCCTATCGTTAATTATCAATTATATATCTATTAATTTATCCTAATGGTAAGATATGTAACAATGAAACGTATAACACAAATTCTTGCGTCGATTGTATTCGTCATTACAGTTGTATCTATTTATTTGGCATTTGATTTCGCAATAAATAATGCTATATCAAACAAAGCTTCTTCTCGTAAACGTTCTCATCATGAACATGGCCATCATGATGGACATAATCATCAACATGGTGATATTAAAATAACAAAAAAACGTTCCATATTCTCATCAACATTATCTCATACAAAGAAATCTAATCGAACAATAAAACATGATGATGAAGATGAACATTATAATATTAATAATGAACGTCGTATAGGTACTGTGAAACAAAAAATAGTATCACCTCTACGTCATGGTAAAGCTGGTCATTTTCATAAAGGTAAAACAGGTATTAAAGTGAACAAACCACGACAAATTATTAAAGAACAACGGAAACGTTTATCAACAACAACGTTACCAGATCAACATAAATATAAAAATAATCTCGATCATTAAGTATATGTTTAATATTTGTAATTTGATAGAGTAAATGAAATAAAAGAAGGCAATTACATATATCAAAGACATTTTTTTTTCTTTATTGAATGTTTAATATGAATGACGGAAAACAAAAAGAACAATAGAAGGCCCGAACCCGAACTAGATCTTCATTCGAAACGAAAAAAAAAAGAAGTAGAAGAAGATGAAGAATTGTTCATATTTTTTTTATTGTTGTTAATCGTCATGACTTTCAGAAAGTTTTGTATGTTCTAATTTCGATGTTGCTCCAGCAACATTACTCTCGGCAGATGGGCCAGCAAATTCATCTTCAGCATGATTTGTACGTGTTTCAGCTAATTCTCTAAATCGCTTAATGACTTCATCAATTGTAAATTCACCATGTTGTTTATTATCACGCGTACGAATATTAATTGTTCCATTAGCTTGTTCTGTTTGACCAACAACTAAAAACAAAGAAAAATAATAATTATAATTATAATTATACATGGAATTTAATATTACCGCCAATAAAATTGTATTGAGCAAGTTGATTTTGGCGTATTTTTTTATTTAATGTTGTACCTGGATCTAAATCACAATCAACTTGAAAGCCAGCAAGCCAAAGTTTCTTTTGAACTTCTTGAGCATAGGAATCTAATGATGGAAAAACAGGTACAATTGCCATTTGACGTGGTGATAACCAGAAAGGCCTAAGTTGAAATAAAATTTCATTTTATATTAGTAGAATAATATGAAATGTCGAATGCCAAAAAAAAAACGAAAGTGATTTCTAAAATGTTTTAATCATATTTTAAATAAAACTATTCCACAAGATAAACTATTTTCATACGCGATATTCTGACTGAGAAAATTTGTTTTTCTTACACCTCACCCTGTCGAATAGAGTTGTAACCAGTTCATTGGATCATATATGAATTGGTTTTAAAAAATATTCATATTCCTTTTTGCATTCAAGTTTTACAAATTTTGAAGTATAAAAAATATAATACTATAGTCGTTTACATCTGTTTAGCAAGTTTCATTAGACAAAACTGGCATATCTATAAAATAATTTCCATCTCATAAATACGAATCGGTTCAGTTCAGTGCCGAATGCAACTCTGCTGTAAAACTTCTATTATATGTTGCATAACTTCTATACTTCTCTATCCTTATCTTACTTTTACTAACTTTTAATTTCTACTCTTCCTTATTTATATCCTATTAGAAAGACTATAAGTGATAAACAGAAAAATAGTATTATGTTAGAAATGTTACAGATAAGCTTTTTTTCGTACTCTATACATCTCTACTACACAACGAAAAAGTTTAATGTACAGCTTTCAATTAGTAGCTTTTCAAATATTCTCTGTTCACAGAGAGATTTTAAATTGAAATTCCTTGGAGTATAATTATTATTTTAATAAAAAAAAAATCATACCATTTTCCACCAAATGATTCTGTGAGAACAGCCATCATACGTTCAATTGAACCTAATATAGCTCGATGAATAATAACTGGTGTTTGAAGTTCACCTTGTTCATTTCTAAATAGTAATATATTCAATTCATATTAATTATTATTCTTTTTTTTTTTTCGTTTATTTTTATATCTACGTTTGATATTGAAGTTGAAAACGTTGAGGTAATTGAAAATCAAGTTGAATTGTTGCACATTGATGAGCACGTTGTAAAGCATCTCGAATGGTAATATCAATTTTTGGTCCATAAAAAGCACCATCACCTGGATCAATTCTCCATGGATAACCAAATGATTTAAGAGCTTCTTCAAGTTGACTTTCAGCTCGATTCCATGTTTCAATTTCACCCAAGAAACTCGAAGGTCGCGTTGATAATTTTAATTCAAATGTAAAACCAAATATACCATAAACATGTTTTAAAAGATCTAAACAACCTTCTATTTCACTTTTTATCTAAATATATAGTAAAAATTTAAAATCACTATGAACTTTTTCTTTTTATTAATAGAAATCTATTACTTGTGATTGAGTACAAAATATATGTGCATCATCTTGTTGAAATCTTCGAACACGTGTAAGACCACTTAATGCTCCTGAAAGTTCATTTCGATGTAAAACACCAAAATCAGCCATACGTAATGGTAATTCACGCCATGAACGAAGACGTGATGAAAACATAACACTTAAAATAATAAAACAAAAATTTTTATCAAAAATTTCTTTTTTTATTTATTTATTTACCAATGTCCTGGACAATTCATTGGTTTAAGTGCATAGACTTCTTTTTCAATTTCTGTTTTAAACATATTGTCCTATTTTAAAAAAAATTAAAAATAACAATATGATTAAAATAATTTTTTTTCTTATTTTACTGAATAATGATCCCAATGTCCAGATGTTTTCCATAATTTGGAATTGAAAATATTCGGTGAAATAACTTCTTGATAACCACGTTTACGATATTCACCCTAATGGAAAAAAAAAAGAAAATGAATTCAAAAAATAAAAGAAATAATTATATAACAAACTCGAATAAATTCAATAAGTTTATTGTAAATATGTGCTCCTTTCGGATGAAAGAAACATGAACCAGGACTAAGTTCATGAAAAAAGAAAAGATCTTGTTCAAGACCAATCTTTCGATGATTTCGTTTAGCTGCTTCTTCTTGAAGATGTTTCCATTCTTTAAGTTGTTTTGCATCAGGAAATGATATTCCATATATACGTTGTAAAGTTTCACGTGTTTGATCGCCTTCCCAATACGTTGAAGAATTCTATAAAAAAAAAAAATAGAATTTCAATAGAAAAAAAGAAATCTTTTTGTTTCTTGGTTTTTACTTTTGTGATCGCAAAGGCTTTAACTTTTCCTGTATGGCGAATGTGTGGACCACGACAAAGATCAATCAATGGACCACATCTAAATATTGAAACATGAGCATTTTACTTTATTTTTTAATTTGTTTCAATATTACCGATAAACAGTTGTCGTTGGCGTATGCACTTTTTCATTAAGAATTCGAACTTTAAATGGATTATACTAATTTAAAAAAAAAATAAAATAAATTTTATTCATGAAATAATCCAAATTGAATTCTTTTTTTTTACTCCAAATAAACGCATTAAATCTTCTTTGGAAATTTCTAAACGTTCAAATGGTTGTTCTTCTTTAACAATTCGTTTCATAACTTTTTCCAATGGTTCATAATCAAGACCCGATACCGTCCTATTGTTTATTTTTCATATTAAATAAATATTTATTAATAAGAAATTTTCTTACCGATTTTCAAGATACATATCATAATAAAAACCTTGTTCAATCGGTGGTCCATAACATAAACAACCACCATAACATAATTCCATAGCTTCACCCATAATATGTGCTGTTGAATGCCAAAATACTTGTTTGCCTATTTAAATATATGAGTTTAATCATTCGTTAACAATGTAACATTACAAAATTGGAACACATGTGTCTCAGGATGGAAAATTTTCCTAGAGCTATTTTTTATGGTATATGTGTAGTAACTTAGTTTAGATATCCTGGAAAAAAGACTATTGTCCTAAGATGATAAAACAATATTCAGTGAACAAATACAATCAGACGACGATGAAAACATATTTTAGTGTTCATAATATTGACACTATTAGTTTTTTTTTACATAATTATGTCTTATTTATTCATTAGGATTTAATATTTATCGATTTTATTCGTATTTATCATGCTGCGTTTTTTTTTACATTACAAAATATTAGCATGAAAATCCTAAATTAATTTATGATATACGAAAAACTTTACTTGAAATGTCCCAAAGTGAAGGATATTATATAGTTCCAGATTTTGGTTCTGTACATGTATAGACTGACCACTAAAAAGAATATCGATTTTTCACTTAATGTATTTTAGTTAAAACAACTAAATAGTACATTCTGTAGGCAACTCTTGAGACTACAAGAGAATGCCTTGGTTTTACAAAAACAATCGAGTTAGTTTTTACTGGCGACGTAATGAAGTACGAAAAATAGTGTTCCTATAATTGAATGAGAAATTCAAAATCAGCTTTTAAGAGGAAGTTTTTTGTAGTTCGATCCTGTTAAAAATTCCACTATAGATGTGGTTCATATCGTAGAATATAGCCTGAAGTTATCAAATATTTTTCTCATATGGTCAAAGAGATATTTGTTAATTATTTTGGAATTAATAGTCAGCTGAAAGAGTGAATAATTTTTACATATGTCTATGCTAAAAGAACTGATTCAGAACGATAACCTTTTCCGTAAAGTTCAATATTGAATAATGAATTCTATTCAAATAAAAAACTACCTTGTTCATCATCAAATTTAATTAATTCTAATGATGAATCTTTTTCAAATGGTCGATCAAGATCCCATAATTCACCATTGACTTTCGCAATAACAGTTGCAGCTGCTAATCCTTGACTGAATATTTACAAAAAAAAAAAGAAACATTGCATTTGAGAATAATAATCGATCAGATAAACATACCTAATACCCTGTGCAATTTCATTTGGAGTTGTTTTCCATGATTTACCAGGTAACTTTTTTCCATCTGGTAAAGTTATTGTAATATCAACTTGTGGCTGTGAAGCAACATAATTTTGATATTTTGTTTTTAATTCCTCCCAGATTTTAATACGTTGTGAAACATAATCTGGTGGTGGATTTAACTGAAAGAATCAAATGAATTTATAAAACAAAAATTTGAATTTTCTTTTCTTACTTCCGTAAGCGTTGGTTTTGTTTCTGACTCAGCCATGTATTGTCGTTGAATTTTTTGCCAAGATTTATTAAGCTGAAAAGAAAAACAAAAATATTTTCAAAAAATTAAATAGATAAATATCGAACATACACTAAGTGAAATCGAAAATGATCGAGTTTGTATACGACTAAACCGATAAATAAATATTGGAAAACGTGGTGTGATAAGCGTAGTGAGCGATCTGAAATAATATTCATATATATATATATTATGATCTATTCTTACGAAAAAATAATGCTAACAAATAGCATGCAAAGAATCTTTCAATAGTACTATATATTTTAGGTGATAAGCAACGTAAAAGCTCACGCAAAATTACTTCATTATATTGCATGCATTGGTATTAAACATTGCATCATCTTTTTCTTTTTGAAAGGTAAAGTAAATGGATAAGTTTTTTTTTTTATTTCGTATAGTCGAAGAAGGAAATACTAAAAGCAGAAAAAAAATGTAGAACAGATTCTTTTGTGAACAAGGTCAAATGAGCTATTCAAAGTTCAGTGATGTCTTCAAGAAAGAATTAGTTTAGGGTCACCAATCAAAGTTTGACCGTGATATTTGCTGACATCTATCTTCGTTTGTTACATAGAGCAGCTAGGTAGGTCACTGAGAATATCAAAACAAAAGAGTTAGATTGTATGTTGTCATTATTGTCAATATGATAAAAAGAAATATATACTACAACAATGTGACTATACAGATACAGATAAACAACAAAAAGAAAAGTAAAAAGGTAACACAACAAAAACAAATTAAAATAATGATTTTCTCAATTATGATTATTTCTACTTATTATTGAAAATTATGGCGATTTCACATGATGGAAAAAAAAATACATATCGGAATGTTAAGATCACCGTATAACTGAGATTTTTTTTCATTATAATTTAATATAAAATATTATGCAGTAGTTAATAATAATGATTCATCATCCTCTTTTAATAAATGACTTTTTCGACGATTACTTCCTACTTGCCATGCACTAATCGGCAAATATTGTAAACGTATTATTGTTTGGTATTTCCATAGAAACCAAATAATACCCGCTATAATACATATGGATATTTCAATATAATACGGATCTATAGATAGATCACAGACACCTCCTAATATATGACAATTGTTTTCTTCAACCGCTGTTTTACATTGACTACCACCTAATGAACATGTTTTCCATGTTAAATAATCAGCTGCATATAATACAGTTGTTGAAATCCAATTACTACCTGAAAAAATAAAAAAAACGATTGAAAATATTTCACATTTTTTAATTAGGTCATAAAATTCTACCAAGATTTGATAATGTATTAAGTAATGTCATATATGTTCCACCAATTTTAGGATCACTAACTTGAGCAAAAAAAGCCATTTGAGAAACAAACATATTGTATACAAATATTTGATGTATAGCATAGATAACAATAGCTAATGTATAATAATACCAAGGAAATGTTTTATTATAATTTTGAAATGTTGGTGTATTATAGACAAATATAGCCATGATTATACCTAAAAGTAATCTATGAAGAAAAAATTATGATTAATAAAAACAAAATAATCAAAGATAAGGAAAAGTTTACCGAAATGGATATGATTTAATATAAATATTTAATGGTTTTTTTCCAGTCATATATTTTGATATAAGAAATGGTAAAATAATTTGTAATGGTACTAATGGTATAGCTAATAAAGCTAATGAATCTTTTGCAACACCACGTTCAATTAATTCTAATCCAGTCATTGCATCTGTTGCAGAAAAACCTATCTAAATAATGAAAAAAAAAAGAAGGAAATAAACACATGAATTTATTAATATGTTATTAAATAACATACTTTAGCTGTTAATAAAATCAATGCTATAGATCGAACTGATGGTAAACGAAACACTTTTAGAAGAACTTTATATGTTTCAGTAAGACCAAAATGAGGATCATGTGGATCATAATATTCATCAATTTCATGTTTCAATAAAGCAACTAATGTTGTTGATATTACAAAAATTATCCCCCAAAATAGAAGAAAACCTATGAAAAACAAAAAAAGAATCAATTACAATGAAACGATAAGTCTTCGAAGAACTTATTGTATTATCTTACCAGAAAATGTAATTAATCCAGTTGATTGTAATTCCATATTTAATGGTTGTCGTACATAACGATTTGCAAAATCTTTTGATTCAAATGCAAGAAAAACGACATTACCCAAAAAATATCCAGCTGTTTGACCAACAGAATTACATATACTTGCCCAACCAACATTCTCTCTATAATAAAAATTTTACCTAAACAATGGCTTAAGAACATCCAAAAAATCTAGTTTTTCAGTACTTGAAATTCCAAAATGACAAGAACCAATTTTAATCTTTTCTTAACACCGATGTAGTTCAGTCAAAAACTATCGTGCATAGTCCATCGGGTGTATCCGACTCCAAAATTTTCCTGTGAACCATGTGTGTAATCGAAAGAAACTTTTATTTTAGAATTCTCTATACTAATTGGATTTTGGGTGATAATGGAAGAATTTTGTTTTTCCATCAATCTTTGTTGGAAAACAAATCGAAACTAAACATGTATGATCAATGTTTGAAGTCATTATCCATCATTTACCTTGAAAGCATTGAAAGTGCCCAACCATCAACACAAATATCTTGTGTAGCAGCAAGAAAAGATAAACCAAAAAAAATTGATGTAAGAAAATAAATATCTAAGTAAGAAAAAATTCAAATTCTAATAATTATATTATTAAATTATAACATACGTGGTTGATTATTTGTTGATGTTTTTGTTGTAAGTAATATATCATTAATATGATATGAAAGTATAATCATAACTAATCCAATTAAATATTGTACTGGTATAAGCCATGTTTTTCTTCGACCATATCTTTTTATATATAATGCATCAACAATTGGTGCCCAAAGAAGTTTAAGACTAAATGGCCAAAAAGCAAATGAAAATGTTGCTTGTTGAGACCAACTAGTGCCATATGTTTGAATAATCAAAGGTATGGATGCAGCCATACCAAGTGGAACACCTTGTAATAAATAAAGAAATAATAAAAGACTTATATTACATTTATCTTTTCTCCAATCGCTTCGCTTAGGTATGGATGGCATTATTAATAATGATGATGATGATGATGGAAGACTAGCAGTGTCAATTGTTGATTTCGTTTCAATAAATGGTTTTCTTTGACTAGTATCTTCTTTGTTTAGTGCTGATTTTGTTTTTAATCGATACCGAGATTTCATATTCGAAAAATCATTTAAAGAAACATTTTCACAAAGAAGTATTTTGGTTAATTCTATTCATTCATTCATTCATTACCACGTATTCGTCACTGTTATCCAATGAGTAGTCAATTGATTTTTTTCGTTCAATATTATAAGTGACAGACTTCTTTTACAAAAATTCATCATATTCGAAGAAATTGTCTAATTGATTAAAATGCTGAATTAATAAACCAAAATTAATCGTTTTTATTTAGTATATTTTCTGATTGGTTCAGAAGTCGCCACTATAAATAAAAGCGCCCTCTTCTGCCCTTTTTTTGAATGCTAGGACAAAAGTGATGTTCGCATGGCTTTCTTAAAAACTGAACAAATTAAGTTATTACTTATCGTAATGTGTCGATTTACTGTTTGAAAGGAGTCGCATTCTATTATGTCGTAAATATTTAATAGCCATATGTTAGTGCTATGCATTTTGTGAAAGTAGAAAAACTTCTTTATACGTGAAATTCTTTTACATCTACGCTGTTTGAGGAGATCTGCAATCTTGTCTCGTAGCCCATCTGATAGTTTTGTACTCTAACCAGAGAGATTCAAGGTCCTGTTATGGCGAAAGCAGGATAGTAGTCAGGTAGATCTGCTATGCTCGTTTCGTTCCTTTCGTCATCATGTAAGTCATACCTAGGCTTATTCCCCTATTATTTTGATAAGGTCCATTTTGTATGTACCCTTCAGATTCATGTAAGGTTTCTCCCTCCTCTAGGACTCGCACAGTGCAAAGAACAGAAAGCAGAGAGAATTTTTTGCTGTGAAAATAAGTTTATTGAGCACGCCATAGAAAAATATATTTCTATTTTTTTTTTTTACATAGTCGATATTATCAATCACTTGTCTAGTTAGAAGATGCTTTCTGAAAGTGATTTTTCTAAGATAGTAACTGCTTTTTCTGATAATGAAAGTTCTGTCGAGTAGCCACCCATCTTGTAATACACTGAAGTGATATTGTTGTAGAAAGTAGCTAAGGAAGGATCATCTTCGGGAAGATTTTTTTGCTGAATTCCGAGAATCTTTTCATAAAATAATAAAGCGTCTTTGTGTAGCCTTTGGCTTTGCTTCACCTGTTCAAGCTGTTGATAGATATATGCTTGAGCAGTATGATTGGGTTTCTATTTCAGTGGTACAGTATACAATTCTTCGACTCTGTTGACTTGATCTATTTTCGACAGTAATATACCTAACTGTTGCCACCCAGTTCTACCTGCAGTTTCTTCTCGTATAGGGTTTGTGAGCCGACGAAGTTCTTAATCATTATCTGGCGTAAGCTTAAGGTCGACTTCAAAGAGTGGATGATTGTCGTCAATTTTTTCAACTTCACCGATTCGAAAAATGGTGTGTATTAAAAAGAGGATTTCTGCTTGTCTGTTCTAGTAACTCATCTCTTAGATGAAGGCGAAGAGCATCGACGATACTGTAGGATCTATAGACATGTGGAAAACGATATTCACCATATCGGTTTTGGTTGAAGCACCTCGAGTGAATAGAAGGGAGACGTCTCGATTTTCACTCATCGATAAAAAGTTGTTAAAGGATACAAGTCTGCTTTTGTTCTTCTAACGTTTGTGAACGTCGACTGTCGATAATCCCTGGTATGGAAAAACCGCAAAAGTTTTCTCATGATAAAGACTGGCCCGCTTTTCATGTAGACTTTCAATTTGTTGATGTAGATCACATAGGAAAAAATCCATATTAATGGTGGTTTTGTCATCAAGTGTCCGTAATACCCAATTGAACATATTGTAAGTGAAGCGTTGCCGTGTATACTACCAAATGTAAACTATAGGAATGCTTAAATTCATCAATAATATATAATTCATTCATATTATTTAGGTACAATTGACGGCAAAACTTGACCAAATCTTTGATGGCTTGTGGGTCATGTTCCATTTAAAGAAGAATTTCTTTGAATCTTTGAAAATACATAAACGAAGATTCCAACTGATTAAGATTTTCAATAGAAGCTCGTTCTTCCAAGTTGATAATGTTGACTGGCACGCCATCTTGATTGCATTGCTTGACATCCATTTGCAATGCTTCACAGATAGATTTAATTTTCGTATAAACATCTTCTATTTTAGGCCAGTTTTTCATCTGTTTTACGTTGTGCCTTGTTGCCAGAGAAGATATAAATATAATCAAGTTGAAGAACATCGTGGATGAGAGTTACCATTCGTTCACCGATACTATTCACTACAATAAGAAAACTCTTGACATCCTCGGCGTCAATGAGGAAATCAACGTATTCCTCTGATCGGGTGAAAAGTTGGGCGTCGTTAGCTACACTACGCAATCGTAGGAGTGTGCTTTGACAAACTTCATTTCCTTGATAAATATTACTTTCTAACCATATGGGTAGAAAATTTTCAACCATATGCTGTGGTGCTTCGACGGTATGCGATGATGCTGTTGTACTTACAGCGATCCGCAATGGTGAATAAATATTTGTTGTCTAGGCAGAAAAAAGCTTTCTATTTATATAATCGATGCCTTATTCTTTTTTTTTCTAAATTTTTGTAAAACGTACAATATGAGTTTTTAGTTGACATTCAGCGGCAAAAGTCATCTAGCTTCGATTAAAAATACGATTGTGAACAACAAACAAATAAACGAGAAAAATACCAACAATATTATTTATTGTATTGTTATTTTTTCCAAGTTAGCTTTGCTCTTCACTTTCAGAATGATTTAAGTGTATGTGCATGATAGACCTTGTCTCATCCAGAGCGTGTTCGAAGAACAACATTATTCATTGCTTAGTTTTCATTGATTCTTTTAAACCAACATTTTTCTTCGTGACAAGAATGAAGAAAAATTGTATTAGTGCGATTGTTTTCATTATTCATGTGACTAATATTCTAATAATGTGAACACAACTAAAAGTCAATTAAATTTAATTATGATCCCAGCAATATTGAAAGAGTGTTTTTCACTTAGTAAATATATCGATGCTAAAAAAAACGCTATTCTTATTGCAATTAACCACCATAAACATATATTGCACGTTATAGTTATTGAAGAAGTATTTTTCTTGATAATTATTTTCTCATCTTGATTGAGAATGTCGGTAAAGTCGGTACTGTCAATTTATTTTCACTCTAGCCCTATTTAAAGTAATGCATGCCGCAGAAATAACGATCGATTTCACGTTATTTCAATAGCTTGGTTAGTTTTCATCGATTCTGGCTACGCTTGCTTTAGAAAAGGTTTACCTTTCAATTCTTCATATAGGTAGGCATGAATCTTTTCTATAGACTTAGTGCGAAAAACACTAGTGAAAAAAGAATGAAAACATACAATGTATATAATTGTTTAAGTAAATGACACAAATTAATTTCCACTTTTCTCAAGCAGAGAATATTTGCAAAAAAAAAGGATTTTATGATGTTGTTTCAGCTACCATTAAGAGTTATCTGCTTACGGACACATCATACAAGTCTTCACACAGAAATAACTATAGAAAACTCAATTTTCAGTGTTCGGTACGAAACTGATACTTCTCATGTTACTGTTTAAACTCTATCGAGTAAAATAAAGTATTCAACGAAATGAATAGGGAGTGGGTGTGGATGAAGTTAACAACATGAATTCGCCCTCATTTTCATCGTATATAAAACCATTGTGAATTTATAATACATTGATTCGAAATGTGTAAAAGAAAAAGAAAATTCTTTTCTTTTGATATTGTATTTCTTGACCTTTTTTTTTAACTTCTACGATTCATGAAGAAATAATAATCCAATTTTTGCGATCACATTTAGAATTCGTTGAAATTTAACGTATGCTAGAATGTCAACGAGGAGACTTTCAGCTATTCAAACGTACATGGCTCAAAGTATATCTATAATAAATATAGCTCAATGGAAAGATATCAGGGAACATATTTTTCATCCAATGATGATGTTAAACTATCAATACTATCAACATTTATTCTATATGATACATTGAAACCGATAAATGCTATCAGCCCAAATTTGGGATTGTGAAACTCATCTACTAAAGATTTCTGTTTGCATGGATGCAAAAGAGAGTTATAAATGTTTACATACAATTCACACATAATCAGATGTATCGCTTGTATCTTTTTTAAACATGCTCATAGTTTCAAATTCTTTTGTGAATGATGAATTCTGCCGTGATAAGAATAGATTTTATATTTGTTATTTTGTCTTATATCAATCAACTGTGTAGTTCTAAATAATGGTAACAATATTGAAGATGAATTCTTGTTTTCTTCATTGAAAAGTAACAAAAATAATACTGTCATGCTAATGCATGCCTGATGTCTTTGCGCAAACACAGATGTTTGTCTCGCAGAAAAAATTTATCCGTTATGTTGATTACACTAAGATTCTGTTGTGTTTCTCCTGAAAGTGAAATCATGACGAACAAAAAGAACTCAATAAAATAGTACATTAACAACGTACAAATCAACGAAACAAAAAATAAACACGAATATATTTTTATTATAACTGCCATCATTTTTTCTTTCGTTCTTACCCTATACAGCGAGTAAAGAAGTGTACGTAGAAAGTATAAGTATAAATAAAGACGTGCTGAAGAAAATCAAGGTTCCATTTTTATTTCCATCTTTCTTTTGAAGTGATTGCATTTCAGCAAGGGTTTCTTTTGTCTCATTCTGTCGCTGTGCGTCTATTGAGTTGATGAATTTGCATGAATAGAAATACATTAAAATCAATTCACTGCTATTCATTATATTACATCTATTCCGTCTTTCCATGATCATTGATTTACAACTATCCATATCTCTAAAATCTATATACTAAGTATGATTAAGATCATAGCCAACAGACAGTTAATATCGAACAGATGTTTGAGAATCAGTGCTCAACGGCTTTCCTTTTTTTTGTCCAACATAATTTGTTAAAAATTTCTCATGATATAGATAGATTTTGCTGAAATCTTTTTAATTCTGAAAATGTTTATATTGAAAAATAAAGACAATGATGGTGAAGGATAGATGATGAAGAAATGAGAGAGACATATGCTTGAAATTTGAACTTAGAATACAGGAATTTTGAAACTCTAGTAACTGTTTTTGGTTGACGACTATAATGATGTAGATGAAGTTGATTCATTTACATTTCTCAATACACTCAAAACGAACTTTATAAGTGGCATTTTCAACAGAAATTTTCATCGTAACCAAGAATGGCAATAAGTGTGGGGGTATCAATATATGAAATGTACCATTACTTCTAAGCAAAAAACTCGAAATCCTAAAAGGTTTCAAGAAATATCATTTATAATTACTATTTGAGTAGAAATTGTATTACGACTGTCTGTTACCGTAAAAAACGTAATTTTAACAATAGTGAGAAAAATAAGTACTTAACTCGCTCACAATACGCTTAAGTTTCAATCATTTAATCCTAACGCAAGCATCTTTAGCACTAACTTTTGTTTTTCACGTTGATAAAATAAATATAATAGACGAAGTTGTTACTATTCAATATTCACATGTAATTTGAACTGCTTTCTGTAAGAAGTACAATTGTATTTAATTGATTGATGTTATTAGTATACTATACTGAGTGTCTCCAGCGAATATCTAAAATGGCATGGCTCGATTAAATGTTATGAATGTGTAGTATAACAATGAATCCATTCAAATTCAGGAACAGCCTACATAGTCAACGAGCGCTTACATGTACTCTAGGATGATCTATTCACATAAATCATAGTTAGGCGCAACTGGAAGATATTATTAGCATACTCGATTAGTCTTTACTCGAGCATATCTGGAATACGAGCGACTTCATCTAATATAGAGTATTTATAATAGCCATGAGAGAATTGACTTGGGTGTATGCGGATACCAAGTGATTGTGTCGAAGTTAAGTTGGTTTTTCAAATAAACTTGATTAGTGAATATTATGAGTTACCAACGAAAATAGGAAGTAAATGAAATATTATAGAAAACTCAATTTCATGATGATTTCAATTTATGCAATTATCTTGTTGAATAATCAATTAATTACAACAATAGATATTATGAAGTCATGAAAAAAAAAAAATTATTTTTTAGTATTTTTTTTTTCTTTATAAAAGGATATCTATGACTGAATAGAAAAAGAAGACTTTTGCAATTATATTTATTGATATATATCATGTCAAATAAAGATTCTTTATCAATCATTTTCAGCTGACAAAATAGATCATGACATTTACATATGATTGTCATTTGCATTTGATGAACATATTTTTATTTAAGAATAGCTAAATAAAAAAAGCGATCATATATTTTCATATTTTTTCTTGTTTTATTGTCCTTCAATATATATGAAATAAAATATGAACTATTCTATGGTAGTCGAACAAGAGACTTCTAACTGTGTTTCATCAATCGAAATAACATCCAATATGACGAGGTCAATAATTTTAATAGAAATCGAAATAGAATCATCATCATCATCGACAAGAAATTAGAGTATTGAAAAGAATGTGTCAATCAACAAGATAACACTCGATTGATCTTTATTTCATGCATATGACACATAGCACGTTATTATAGATAATTGGTGTTTGTTTAAGCAAAAAAAACGAAGAAGAACAGAAACGATGTGTTATGTGTTTTTTTCTAAATAATTGATCAGCAACTAATTTATTGGTTCTATACGTGTGTATAGCATTGATTCTCAATCAAATCACATGCTGGGTAGCTTTTTTTTGTCTTTTCTCTTATTCTTTTTTGATACCGAAATCTTATTGATGCATTTATATATATATATATTCCTATTGTGCAGAAAAGTGTAAACAGATCGAAGTGATATTGAGGCAAGAAATAAGAAGGTTTTCTTTCTCTTATGATGTTAAGTGATGGAGACATATTTCATGGCTCTGCAAGATGAGACAGTAAAAGAGAAAGGAAGATAGAAAGAAAATTGTTTGTGTTGACAAGAGATAGATAATTTTTCTTCTCTTTATTATGAATGACATGTGAGAACGAGACACGGATCATCTTTAAACAAAAATTGTTTCGCAAGGTTAGAAAATCATTGGAATAAATGAAACAATGTTTAAATCATCTGTATTCATCATTATCATATTCTACGTTTGGTCTATTAAAAGTTTTAATTTACCAACTGAAATTCATATTGGTAAGAACTTCCTGATTAAATCATTTTATTCGATTATTTGTTAAAAAACTAATTACAATAATAAATAAAAAGTTGACTTTTACAAAAACTGTTTATATAATCATTTTAATATCGTTTATAGGAGCAATATTTGATACTGGAGATACATTATCTCGCCAAGCATTTGAATATGCTGTTGCTAAAATCAATGCTCAATCACAAATATTTACTCGATCGACACTTGTTGTTACTAATATTGATTTAGTTGATGCACATGATAGTTTTTCAGCATATAAAATGGGTAAAACTTGTCTTTTTGAATGACAACATATCGAATTTAAAATCTAATTCTTCTTTTGTATCGTCGAATTCAGTTTGTGCACAATTACAAAAAGGTATTGTCGCTCTATTTACCGGTCGATTGAGTCCTGCAATAGAATTCATTAGTTCAGTAACACGTCAATTACATATTCCATTATTTTTATCATCACCTGATCCTCAAACAAAGGTTGAATATTACATAGTTAATGTCTATCCACATTATACAGCTACAAGTCAAGCATTTAGTGATATTATTAAATTTCAACAATGGGATGAATTAGCGATTATAACTGAGCATGCAGAAAGTAAATAAATACATAAATAAATAAAAATTAAATTAAGACATAATAATTTGTTTTTTTTTCCTAAATAGATTTACATTATCTTCAAGATCTACTTCGATTAACTTCAGATATTCATCAAATGAAAGTAACTGTAAGACAATTACGAGGTAGACCAGGGATTAATAGTTGGCATCCATTGTTACAACAATTACAAGAAACAGGAATTTCAAAATTTTTAATTGATGTATCTACTGATCATCTTGATGATTTTTTCAAACATGTAAGACCAGTCATAATAAACATAGAGAAAAAAAATTTCATCTTTTAAATTTAAGGCTAAAGTTGTTGGATTAGTCGGTCCTTATTATGATTTTGTTTTAACTTCTTTGGTAAATATTATAAGAAAATAAAATTATTTTCTTTTAATTTTCATGTTTCAATTTAGGATATATCTGTTGTTAAATGGAGTAAAATTCTATATACATTAGTTAATATAACTGGTTTGCAGTTTTTTGGTCGAGAAGATCCAGCTGTTGACGAATTTTTTGATAATACTAATAATTTCGATGTGAAAGTTCCACTTGTTCCTAATGAACGTTCATTAAGGGTTAGAATTAAATTCTAAAACTATATATATATAGTTTATTTGTTTGTTTTCGAATATTTACAATAGGCATCAGCAGCACTTATTTATGATTCAGTTTATTTTTTTGCACGAGCTCTTAATAAATTTGTTGAACAACATCCATTGAATATAACATCATTAACATGTGATGCACAAAAACCATGGATACATGGTTCCGCATTTTCTCTTTTTTTAAAAAAGGTATATAAAACATTAAAAAAAAAAAGAAATATTATTCTTTTGATTTTAATGTATTCATTTTGTTTAAGTTTGAAGCAAATGGTATAACAGGAAAGATTAAATTTGATGAAAATGGTTTACGAACAGATGTATCATTTGAAGTTGTTGATTTAGCTGCTGATGGTGTACAAAAAGTATGAAAAATGTTATATTGAATAATAAAAATAACTTTTGTTTTATGTCAGAATGGAAATTGGTCATCAAATATTCCAAATCGATTAGAAATTCGAAGAAATTTTACAAAAGATTATGAAACACGAAAAAAAGAAATACAAAATCAAACATTAAAAGTAACGACAGTTATTGTAAGTTTGAATTTAGTAAAAATCTTTTTAATAAAAGACTAATGAATTTATTTTGTTTCAATAGGAACCACCTTATGTTATATTGAGTAAAAAAAAAATAATTAAATTTATCTCGTTTTAATCAAAATCGGTTTGTTTTTAGATCCAAATGGTACCAACTCGACAAATAAATATATTGGCTTTTGTATAGATATTTTACTTGAGTTAGCTGAAAGACTTAATTTTTCATTCGAAATTGAAATTGTGAAAGATGAAACATTTGGAAAAAAAAATGATAAAGGAGAATGGAATGGTATTATTGGAGAATTAGTGTATCGTGTATGAAATATTTTATATATATTCTTTTTTTCTTTTCAAAAAAACCATTTCATTCTATTATTTAGAGAGCAGATGTAGGTTTAGCTGGTTTAACAATTACATCTCAACGTGAACAAGTATTTACATTATATACACATAGAGAGCTATTTGTAAACTAGACGATAAAAAAGATTCAATATTTTCGTATTGATTTTTTTCTCGATGATACAGCACTGTTCAACTTTTCTATTCACAAGGAAATATCGTATAAAACTGTACAAAATTGACGTTAAAGAAGAAATACATTCTTGATCTGAGGCTAAGAGCAACTTGAAATGAGTCGTGCTTATGACCCAATATTGAAGAGTTATGATCATTTTAATGAAATTTTTATTGAAGACAAAGCATTTTCGAAAAATCCAAAAGAAAGAATTTTGAGCTTTTCGAAAATATCTTCCCTTCAGTGAAAAATTCATTAAAACGGCCATAATTTTTTAATAGAAGATCGTAGGCATGAATCGTTTTAAAGTTTTCTTCGTCTTACCGAGATATACTCGTAGACTTCATGCGAAATCAAATGTTGTTCAACAGTTGAATATATTCTCTAGTTAGAAATGTCGGTCAGTGAGATTAATCCTGTTACATTCGCTTGAGTTGCAAAAGAAGTTATGATTCAGGACAACTCTTTTCACTGTAAGCTGTAAATCAAGAAGAAAAGAAGCTTATAACTAGTTGAGTCTGTCATTATGTAGCCATTTATTGCAACTATTTTGAATTATGATAAATTGCCTAAATTGTAAATTCTTTCCCTTTTTAAATTAGAGAACTTACGGTAAGAAGGATTGTCATACATCATAACTCAGCTGTACGAGATCGGACTAGTCTCACTGGCCAACCTTTCTGAGATACGCTTGAACAATAGTGTATTTCCTTATGAACAAAAATGTTAAACAGTATTCTATCACCGAGAAAAAGAAATCAGTTTGAAGATATTGTAGTTTTTGTTTTTTATTGTCTGTTTATTAATGAGCTAGCCTATATATTTCAATGTTTTTTGTTTTTTCAAATATTTAAGGTAATTGATTTTACTAAACCATTTTTAACACTTGGAATAAATATTCTTTATAAAAAACCAGCGCGTGTTAAACCAAAATTATTTGGCTTTTTTGAGCCATTCAGTCCTAATGTATGGCTCTATATGATTGCTGCTTATTTTAGTTAGTTAAATTTGATTTCATCTTCTTCGAATGTCTATCTTTTATTTTTAAAATTAAGCTATTAGTTTTGCTCTTTATTTGACTGCAAGATTATCACCATATGAATGGCGTGATCTACATCCATGTAAAAGAACACATGCAGAATTAGAAAATCAATTTACGTTTTTTAATTCAATTTGGTTTCTCATTGGAAATATTATGCAACAAGGTTCATGTTTTGTTTTTGTATAAGTTTTCTTTATCTTTATCTATTTAATATAAATAGGTACGGATTTAAATCCAACAGCACCATCAACACGTATGATTAGTTGTTTATGGTCTTTTTTTACTTTAATTCTTGTTTCATCATATACAGCTAATTTGGGTTAGTAAAAGAAAAACCGATAATTTTATTCATGCGTTTATTGAATAATATTTTAGCTGCTTTCTTGACTGTACAACGTATGCAAACACCAATTGAAAATGCTAATGATCTTGCATCGCAAACTGAAATTCCTTACGGATTTCAACGAGGTGGTTCAACGGAAAATTTTTTTCGAGTATGAAAATAGAAAGATCTAAAAATGATTTGCTTGTAAACTTAAGAAAAACTCTTCTAATAGAGAGTAATAAGAATTGCTATTTTTTTAAAATAGTGGTAAATGTGTGTGGATGGTCTCATTTCAGTCGAGGAGCAAATCAAAACACCTGAAATTTTCACAATGAGCTATTTTCGTCAGATCGTTTTTGTCTGTGCGAAGTGTCAAATCGAAATTCATAAACGAATTTTCTTAGTGTTCCTTAGGAGAAGTACGTTATTGAATTAAAGAAATACTGTAAGCACACAGCATTTCAGCAGCAATAAGCTGAGAGCACTCACTTATTCTCAGACTCTTCATGATGCTCATAGTTCCGATTCAAATGCAAGCAATCATTCGAGAGACTTTCCTTGTGAGTACTAAGGTTCTGACAGTTCTCTTACAGTATACTTGTGTAGTTTCACTACATGATTTTGAATGAAGCAATCACAAATCTATCAGATGGGATTCAATATGATATAATGTGATACCAACTAATACGTTAAGAACTTATGTCTTGGTTTTATGCATGTAAAAAAAAGGGGGAATAATCGAAACTAGCTCAGTTAGTTGATATAGAATTATCAAGGATCTAAGTAATAATTGAAATTTGAAAACTTTTTTTCTCAATAGTTTCTAAAAAGAAAATTCTTCGTTAGACAAAAAGTTTTAATAACCTTGTAATAATCTATATTCAAGCCAGATGAAATAACTAATCGATATGTGGTGAGCACTCAAATAATATGTCACTTTCATCAAGATTATTATCATTTGGAATGATCCATTATGATCTCGATTTGTCTTTCTGTTTAATTAGGAATCAAGAATAGCAACATATGAACGAATGTGGAATTATATATCTGCAAATCATGCAAGTGTCACTGTCGCATCCAGTACTGAAGGTATCAATAGAGTATTGAAAGGCAAATATGCTTTTCTTATAGAGTATGTTAATGAATTTAGATACTTTACATTAAGGATTATTCTTCATATTAATCTAGATCAACTACCAGTGAATATAATATAATGAGAAATTGTGAGCTAACATCCATAGGTGGTTTACTTGATTCAAAAGGTTATGGTTTTGGTGTACCACAAAGTAAAAAATAGAATATATATTAATTTATTTCAATATTAAAATTTCTTTTCTTTTAAATAAGATTCTCCTTATCGTGATATATTAAGTGATACAATTCTCAAATTACAAGATGAAGGTGTTATACAAAAATATTATAATAAATGGTGGAAAGAAGCAGCTAATTTAAAATGTGATCAAGAAGATAAGCGAAAGGATATGGCCTCTGAATTAGGTTTTGCTCATATTGGTGGTATATTTGTGATACTTGCTGCTGGATTAGTACTTTCAATGGTTGTTGCTGCTGTTGAATTTAGTATTAAAATACGAAATAGAAAAGGACGACAGGTAAGAAGAAAAGAATTTTGATAGAATTTGTTTATATCGACAAAATGTGATGTTTTCGAGCTTTTTACGATGTTTTTTTCGTTGAACTATGTGAGATTTACAGAAGGCTTTATATAGAATTTTTGTCAAATTATTCGTTCCTTAACAGTCACTACAGTAGGGTTCGACAGATCTAAAAACAACTGGAACTGTTAAATCATCAAATTAGGATAAAAGTTTTTAAAATTTTCATTATTTCATTTTTAAGATTGAAGATTTAGATCTATAACAGGTAGCCTATCAATAGAAGGACAGTTTGATTTTCTGTTTTTTGAAGAAAGGAAATATTGCTCAAATGTACTATTCTAAGGTCATTTGGTAGAGAATTTTTCCTTCTATCAAAATGTAGACTTCTTTCACGGAACAATAAAAATTTTTAGATTATTTCCAATGGCATAGAGCTGTCAAATGATACAACATTTCACGATATATCTTGTAGCATATTTCGAATTTTGGTGGAACTGTTATTTAAGCATATTCTATTACAATTGTGTTGTTTTCTTACAGTCGCCATCGAATGGCTGAATGACTGTCAATCTTTTCGATTTTTTTGCTACACGAGAAACTTACGTGAAGAAAAAAGTCGACAGTTTTATATAGCGAGAAATTGCCTATTGAATGAGCTTTGAAAGATGTCTTTTTACTGTTTTAAGGTATTAAGAAAAAAAGAATATCCAAAGTCTCTCATTCTTTTAGAGAGAATTTCTCAAAATATACATTTAAAGTTTTCAAATCTATCTCATACTTTAACGATTTCGGTTCCACGTGATATTTTGATAATTGAACCGGAACCAACGAACTCTATACTAGCGTGACCAAACTGCCGTGACGAACGAGCATGCGTTTGGTCGATCTGTCCATACTATCAATATATAGAAGATATCAATATTCTATTTTAATGTTCGTTTCATAAGTGAATCTTCTGAAATTGCAATGACCAGTAAACGGTTGATTCGAATAGCCATTTACCTAGAAGCTTTGTTATTGAACGCATTGATTCTATATATATATATAAATTCAAAGATTTAAAATATTGCACATAAGCAGTTATAGAAAGGATTCTAAATACTGATGAGATATCTTTAATTATGAAAGAAAAATTACTGTTAATCTTCTGTTGTTTAGATATCAATACGTGAAGAAATGGAACGATATTTTCGTTTTGCTATATTCAATGTTAGTGCATCAAAACGACGAGCAAGTATATTTATCAAAGATGTTCCATTACTTGATCCACATGATCATGATAATGAACAACTCAAACATTGATTAATAAAATCAAATCAATATAGAACTTAATTAAATTGTTATATAGGAAAACAGACAAAGCACACATACACACAAACACAAAAAGATTTTTTTTTGTTGTCATTTTACAAAAGATAATACTTGATAATACAAGACAAATTAAAATGTTAAAGACATTAAAACAACAAAAAAATAATAATATTAATAATATACATACTTAGGCAAAAAAAAACACAAAAATGATGAATATGGTATCAGATCAAAAATGACTAAATAATAACTTTTTTTCCTTTCAAATTATGGTTGTTTTTTCTGCTGTTTTTTTTTCTACACTAAAACACAAAAAAAGATTTTGCTATGTGTTAGAATATTTAAAGTACAAGTATCAGTCTGTTACACATACACACATACGAACAACATGAATATGAGTCATTTAAATACGATTAGAAGAAAAGAAATATGTCAGATCGATATTCAATATCAGCAAAACAAAATGAGAGGCACAATAAAAAAGAAAAGATTGCACGCGTATGAGAATGAAAATTTACAATGTGAAGAAAAAAAATTTCTCTTTTGATTCTTATTTTTGTCACAAGGCACTTATTTATAGAAGGATTTATTTTTGACTTTACGTTTCACTTGTAGTGATCGGTGTTGGTTCAGGAGCAGATTCTTCTGTAGATGCAGGTGCAATTTCAGATTCTGTTGGTGGTGGCGGTGGCGGTGGTGGCGGCGGTGGTGGTGGTAATGGTGGTTGTGGTGATGATGGTTGAGAGTCTTCACCTGCTTCATCATCATCTAATGGTGTTTCTTTTTCTTTTGATATTTTTCCTTTACGTTCTTTCGATCGTTTATTTTGAAACCAAACCTTTTATTAAAAACACAAGAGAAATTCATTCTTCTAAGAAAACAATAGGTATTTACTTGTATAACACGTAAATTAAGACCAGTGTCAGTAGCTAATTGTTCGCGTTGTGTTTTATTTGGTTTAGCACATGATTCAAATGCTTTATTTAAAATCTTTACAAAAAAAAAAAAAAATATGAAGTGAAAAGATACAAAATATACATAGGTGTGAAAGAGAAACTTACTTCTAATTGTTGTGGTTTTATTGTCGTACGTCCACCTTTTTTTTCTGGTGCTATAGATGTTGATTGTGTTGTACTCAATGAACGATCAGCACCTATTGAACCATCTGATTCATGACCTGATTTACTATTTGCTGTTTGTGATTGTTGTTGCTGTTGTTGTGGTTCATCATTTTGTTCATCAAAATCTTCACTTTCTGTACCACTAATTCGTCGTTTAGTTATCGGTGGTGTTGATGTTGATTCAGGTGTTGTAGTAGTCTTTACTGTTGTTGTTGTTGTTGCTGTTGTTTCAATTGATGAAACTGTTGTTGGTATTATAGTTTCATTATCAGTTATTGGTACCGATGCAGTTGTAACCGCTGCTTTTTTCTTTGTTGTTCGAGGAGTAGCAGGTTTTTTCTTTTCTCCTCCAGTATTACTTTTACTTCTTGATTTTGTTGGTCGTGTTTCAGGTACAACAATAGCTGCTGGTTTATCGCCCGTTGATGGTGATGTCGTCGTAGGACCTGATAATGATGTACTAGAATTGAAAATAATGTTCAAATAAATATGAAACATAAATGAAAAACAAAATGAAATATACTTAGTAATTGACGATGCAGTTGATGTAGGTGTTGATGGCATAAATGGAAATGGTTGACTTGTTGGCGTTGTACCAAATGCTGGATGAAAACCATATGGGGGTGGATAACCACTTGGATAAGCAGCACCAGGAAAAGCTGGATTGAAGGTACCTGGAAACGTATTGTAAGCAGCAAAATGTGGTGTCATATTGTACATAGCTGCTATTTGAGCCTGTGGTTGAGCATTTGGCGCTGGATTTGTACCATTTGTTGAGGAAGACGATTGTATTGGAGGTGGTGTTGGTTGTATAAATGAATTATTAATAAGACCCATTTGAGCAAGAAGATTATGCGAAGTATTGTTTGTAGGTCCATTCGTAGGTTTTGTTTCATCATTATCATTTGTAGTTGTATTAGTTTTAGTATCTTTCTTTAATTTTCTTTTCTTTTTATTTGTTGTTATTGTTGTTGGCGGTGGTGGTGGTGGTGGTGATGAATTATCTCCATCAACATCATTTTCACCATCAGTTTCAATCTTTTTTGCTTTTCCTTTACCACGTGGATTAGTTTTACGAACTTTCTTTTTAGGTAATGATGGTTCATCAAGTATATTTTGGGAAATAACTTCAGTTGAATTTGTCTTAGCAGTAGATTTCTTCTTTGATTGAGTTGAAGTTGATTTCGGTGCTGGTTGAGGTAATGTTGGTGTTGTCGATGATGACGATGATTGTTGACTTGCATCGGCTGATACTGTTGGTGGTGGAACACCAAATGGTGGTCGATAATAAGTAGTCATACCAGCTGCTGCTTGAGGTGAAAATGGAACACCTGGACCAGGAGTAACAAATGGAAATGGAAAAGGATTTGTAGGAGGACAAACTGGACGTATATCGCCAAGATTTGAAGTTGGTAATGTACCGAATTCAAGTAATGAAGAAAGAGCAGATAATTTTTGAGTACCAGTTGATGAAGTTGTTGTCGAACGTGTTGATATTTCTGATTCAGCATTGTTCGATGTATCCATTTGTGAAGGACTTGATGAACGATCAAGTGAATCTGTTTCGGAAACATTTGTTGAATGCGATAAACGATGTGTATCAGATATAGGTGCAGGTTGTGGTTGAGAAATAGCTGATGGTGGTGGTGGTATTGGAAGTCTTGGTTGTAGAGGAAAACCGGGTGGAAATGGATGATTTGCTGGTAAAAATTGTTGTGGTGTTGGAAAATTTTGATTAAAATTTGGACGCATAAAACTTGTTGGAATATCTGATTTCATAATCGATGAAACAGACATAGGATTAGATGAAAGTCCACTAAGTAATGATAATGGTTCGGAAATTTTTGGTTGTATTGGAACTGATGTTATTGTTGATGTTGGTGCAGCTGTAGTTGGTATTGGTTCAGATTCAATTTTTTTCTCATTTGTCGTTTTAGATGATTTTGTTTTCACTGAAGGTGAACGACTATTTTCTCTATCGTCATCGCGCATATCATCCTTTAGAATAAAAAAATTCATATGAATAACTTATATCACGAATGTCTTAACATAAAATATTCGCTTATTGGACGACAATTACTTTTCGTCCGTTCAGATTTTCCATCTCAAGTAAGATTGAATAACTATCAGTAATTTTTGTGAAAAAATACAAAATTGTGTCTGTACAAAGCAAAATGGCGATTTTAGTGCAGTCCTCAGTTTGTGTCTTGAAATAGCTTCAACTCAACATTATTATCGAACTCATATGTTATCTTTTTAAAATAAACTATGACAATACCTCTTCAGTAAAATCTGTGTCATCATCATCACCACCATCATCATCTTCGTCTTCAGTTTCATCATCATCACTACCACTTGAAAAACTTCGTTTACGATAACGTGATGTTTTTGTATTACGACGATTACTTGACCTTGTTTGTACAGTTGTTGATGTAGCTGATGATGATTTAGATCTTGTTGTTGGTGAACGACCTTTTCTTTCATTAGTAGTTGTTTGTTTTTGACGAGATGCTTGTGTTGTTGCTTTTGATTTAGCTGGTGATCGTTTGTTATTATTACTACTACTATTTTGACGAGCTTTTGATGGTCGACCAGTTGATTTTGTTGGCGGCGGTGGTGGTGGTGGTGTTACTGTTTCTTCAGGAGTTTCAGATGGAACTGTAGCAGATGAATTTGATGATGATGAATGTGTTTTGCATGTTGCGACTTCATCAACTTGCATAGATTGTGATTGATTGACTTGATTATCTGTAACTAATGTAGTTGTCGATTGAAGAGATAATTGTTCAATAGATGTAAGAACAGGTATATTTGATATTGGTGATTGAATTGAATTAGTCGATGGTACATCCATATTGACTGTTGTTGATACTTGTCTATCAATAGATTGTACTTTTCCATTTGTTGTATTTGACATTTCACTATCCGATGTTTCTTCTAGAAAAAGAAAAATTCTTATAAATAAGATTTTCTTTTGTTATTTGTAGTAAAATAAACCTTCATCTGCATTTGATGATGATGTTGTTCCTGTAGAAGATTTAATTGATTTTGAACATGTTTGACATAAATAATCCATATCATTCAAAGGTAAACCATCCGATGGCATTAATGTTGTTATATCATCATCTTGTAATATACGTTTACATTTCATACAAATAAAACAATCAGCATGATATATTCGACCTGTTCGAACACGACGAATTAATTCATGAGATTGAATTAAATTTTGACATGAAAAACAACGATGAATATATTTTCTAATAATAAAAAAAAAAAATTTTCTTTTTCTTATCAAGAAAATTTTGTTATTATCTTACTTAATAAAATCATCTTTACAATAAAGTTTTCCTTCACGTGAATAACATTGTTCATTAAGTATACATCGACATACAAAACATCGAACACATTCAGGATGCCATAAACGATCAAGAACATTTGATAAAAGAGGATTATACATTGGTTGAGAACAACCAGAACATTGACTCACTGTCATTGACATACTTAAGAAAAATATGAAAATTATCTTAATATTCTATTAAAATTCTTGTAGTCTTAGTTAGATTTACTTTCGACTTGCTTGACGTATAGGCCGACTAGAATTATTATTTAGAGTTATGGGTGATGCTGGAACAGGTGGACGTCGACGTTGTTGTTGCATGATTTAGCTAGAAAAGTAATAATAAGTGTACCTTGTATATATCTATATCACATTCAAGGCAATGTAACTCACTGGTGGGTGACGGTAAACAGAATTGTATATATTTACTCTCTATTTGAGTCAAATGAGATATGTTCTTGAATAATATAGAAATGCTCAAAGGTTTGCTCATAAGAAAAATATCAATAAATGTTGTACTTAAGGTATATAATTGACTTCAATAATAAGCAAAAGTTATTGTCTAGAATTTTCGAGAAAATATACTACGAAAATCTAAAAAAATGATTTGTAACGAAACATATCTTAACATTTTTCATATGCATAAAACTTTTAAATATATTTCATTTGATTCAAATAGAATGAATATATTCAATCTTCTTTTTTAACATAATATACCTATAGGCTGCATCGCCTTGAATGTGTTATTATCTTTTATCAAGAAAAAAAAAATCCGTAATACTTTTTTTTTTGTATCACATAGATGGAATCGTTAACTAGTTTTTCTCACCTATTAGCTACCTGTATTTGTTACCTCCAAGACAGAAATATAATTATCTTGACAAAACCATACATCTTCAAAAAAATAGAATAAACATTTTTATCATTAATTTGTAACTAGTAAATCCAGTCAGTTGATCTATTGGTGCCATTATGATATATTTTGTTGACATATACACTTGAAATGAGTTTTTCATTGGTTAATAATAAACCAATGAAATAAAAACATAAATATCTAAATCAAAAAAAAAATTAAAATAAATTATAAGAAATTTTTAGTTTGTTTATTTTTATTATTTAATAAAGTTTTTTTTTCATTTGATTATGATTCATTAATTAGTGATTGGATTACATCACTAGATATAAATAAACAATAATCGATCAATTGATTGATGGTGCCATTTTAAAGAATTCTAACGATATAAAATGACTACAACGGCTAGCACACGATCGCAGCAAAAAGATACTAATGTGAGTTTATAATTGATAAATTGATTAGTAATCAACTAATGATAAATCTAAAATTCTGACAATGAGACGGCAGTTTCTAGTAGAAGTCGATAAATGCACAACTTCGATGAAAAAAAAACAATGAGCAATAAAATTAGGAAAATTAGAAGGCGATGGAATTTTAAAAAATCATCAATACCAAGATTAACTTTTAATATGTAGTTTTCAATAAATAAAACAGAAACTTAAATGCGCTCTTCAAGAAAATAATCCTGAAAAAAATAAAAGGGATTCATATTTTGTCAAAATATGTACTCAGGCTCTCCTGTAGAGCACTTAATGGACAGACCAGATCTTTTTCAGAAAATATTTAAAATCTATAGATATATAGTTACTTTTGCCATCGTAATAAAAGTTTCAGAATTTTTTCGTTTTCAATATTTCAAACTTTTTTTTTTTATTTTTAAAATCATGCACTTTTTGTCATAGCCGCTGCTGGCTGTCAGTAAGTGTCATTGACTATTGAAATCTTATATAAATAACAAAGATTCATATCATTCCGTGACTTTTCAACCAATTCTCTTCTTACTATAATTCATGAGAAAGTGGCAATCATTGGAGCATCATTGTGTTGAACTCATTAGAAATCGTAATATTTTCTTCGAGCTCTATCAGTCATCTTTTACGATGATGATCAATTGAGAAATATTCATCGAAGACTATATTTGACAAGACAAATATAATGCAATATATTTCCATAGGGTAATCAATTTTCAAGTTCCGATACAACATCAAGTTTTGTTGGTTTTGCTAATTTACCAAATCAAGTTCATCGAAAAATAGCTAAACGTGGTTTCGAATTTACACTTATGGTTGTTGGTATGTCAATACATATTATAGTTCATATTTATTGATATTTTTTTTTCATTAGGTGAAAGTGGTCTTGGTAAAGCAACATTAATTAATAGTTTATTCTTAACAGATCTTTATCCTGAACGTCATATACCTACTGCTCAAGGTTTATATTTATTTATATTTTCATTTTATATTTTTGTTTTTAATAAATAGAAAAAATTCGTCAATCAGTTAAAATTGAAGCATCAACTGTTGAAATTGAAGAACGTGGTGTTAAAGTACGTTTAACAGTTGTTGATACACCTGGTTATGGTGATAGTATAAATACAACTGATTGTTATAAACCAATATTAAATTATATTGATAATCAATTTGAACGTTATTTAAATGATGAAAGTGGTCTTAATCGTCGAAATATATCTGATAATCGTGTTCATTGTCTTTTCTATTTTATATCATCATTTACTCGAGGGTTTGTTATTTCAATATTTTTTTTCTCTCTCTCTCTTTCTCATTCAATTGTTTTTTTATAGACTCAAACCATTAGATATTGAATGTATGAAAGAATTACATCATAAAGTTAATATTGTACCAATAATTGCTAAATCTGATGCATTAACACCAGATGAACTTGTTCAAATGAAACAAAATGTATGTTGAAATGGAGGTGTAAGCCCATAAACTATGCCGCCGTCATTGCCCAAAACAATTGCTTAGAGTTCGAACCACCATGTCACAAAAATAGATATTTTATTTCTCAAAATTTTCGATGTCCCAAATCAGTTTTTGAAGATATGTTATGGTCTGGTTTCTTATCACTAAGTTCTCTACCATCGTTTTCATTTCATAATTTCATGAAATTCAGAAAAACTTTTAAACAATCCATCGAAAAATTTCAGCCGTCACCATAACCTATGATTCTTGTGGAGCCGCGGTACAGCCTGGTACTTTTAGAGATGCCAATGTCGAAGCCTGAGACTGTTGTAGCTGCCATCGCCGATCAATACATTGACTTATACCTCTATGTAGAAATGAATTATAAATAGTTTTCTATTTTCAATAAAAAATTTAGATTCTTGATCAAATTCGTGAACATCATATACAAATTTATCAAATACCTGATTGTGATTCAGATGAAGATGAAGAATTTAAAGAACAAAATCGTCGATTGAAAAATGCTGTACCATTTGCAGTTATATCATCAACACAAACATTGGAAGTTAAAGGAAAAAAAATTCGTGGTCGAATGTATCCATGGGGTTTAGTTGAAGTTGAAAATTCTGATCATTGTGATTTTATTAAACTTCGAACAATGCTTATGTAAAAATTTTTAGATAAATAAATTAATTTCTAGGATTTTTCTGTTATTTATTTAGAACACATATGCAAGATTTACAAGAAGTAACACATGAAATTCATTATGAAAATTTTCGTTCAGAAAAACTTCAACCAAAAAATAAACAATTACGTACAAATGAAACTGATGTTGATGAACAACAAAAAAAATTAATTAAAGAAAAAGATGATGAAGTAAAATTGTTCTTTTTGTTTTGCTTTTGTTTTTTTCAAGCCAATTTCTTTTATTTTAGCTTCGACGAATGCAAGATATGTTGGCAAAAATGCAAGGTCAATTAGCTGAAAAGCAACAATTCGTTACACCTTAAAAATCTATTCATTCTCTTTTTTTATATTGTTCTTGTACATTTTTTTTCTGTATTAATCATTAGTATTTGCAATGTTTGATTACATTATTCTTAATGTGTGTTTGTCTGATATTTACAGCTAAAGAAAAAAAAAACAAAGAGCTCAGGAAAATAAAATAAAATGAATTTGTTACTATAGAAATTTAATTTCATAATTTTCTTTTCGCATTTATTCAATGTCGATTAATTATCGATTATTTCCAATTGATGTTATGGTTTTTAGTACATTAACAGTTGTTTGTTGGATAAGTACAAATGTCATTCTATCGTGGACATCAAATGTCTATCGTTCAATTGAATTATATGAATTAGGATTTATGTTGATGAATGATAGAATAAAATATCTTCTATATAAACGTGCTAGACGAAATATGCAAATTGATCAACAACATCATCCTATTGAACATAGTTTATTATTCTTTTCACGGCCTGACTTTTCCAATGAGATTAATGCACATGATGATATATTGCGAAGTCAATCGACCTGTTAAAAATAAAGAAAAGAATGAGTCATCGATCGACATATACATCTCTACTGTGCAATTTTTGCGTCCGTTCTTGCTTTATAAGTGGTACATATGTCGATGAAAAAGTTAACTCTGATTCCGGAACAATCACAAGAAAATCTTTCGCCTTTTACTAAAGATTTCTGTGTTTCGGAATAATTCAATGAGTCTTAAAGACTAATTTTTTTCTGCTCGCTCTGTGCGGGCTTTTTAATTAATCTAATTAAAATAATTGATTGTGTTTTATCTTTCATGAAGAGCCTATTGTAACTCGTGCCTGTCGTTCGAGCTCATATTGCGCTCATCAGGAGGTTTCGGTATGACTAGAAAATTCTAAAAGGATTCTACAACTATGAGTGTTTACTGAAATATCAAATAATTGGATTCAGAGTTGAAGTTTTGTTCAAAGATGAATCTAACGATTCTGTGTGTTCTGAAAGTTTCAGCTGTAATTAATGCTCTTCTATCGAGATATTATATTTCCAAAAAAGTGTTCGTTTGCCGAGTTGATTTGAAAATTGATAAAGAAATATTCTTTTAGATTGAAACTTATAAGATATTCTCAGAATTGTTAGATCTATCTATCGGAAAAACTTCAGATCAAAGTATTATTATTTGATTTTTTGATAAAAATCTACAGCTGAATAAACAATTAAGTAAAACGGTCATAGCTCATCTTGAGAGAGCCGTGGAAGCAAATTCTCTTAGAACTTTTCTATCCTTACCGAGACATCCTTATGAAATCAGTACGAATTCAAACGATGGTAATTGGTTCGGATAGTGCCTTCATATGAGAGATTCGAAAAGTATCTAAATTTAAGATGTACAACACTTTATATTTTGTAATTAAATTAGGTTTACGCACTTGTTACATATTTTGATCATAACTGAAAGATTTTACAAGAATAAATTTTAATGCCATAAATTCTAAACTTATCAAGTAACTCACTTTTTATAATAATATTACTTTTGCTTTAATCCAATAGGGCGTTTGATTACGTAGTTAACTACTTGATATTTTTGTTGCTGACAGTTGTTGAATTATGTGGATAGTAGATGAGTATATAAGTCAAAAATCTCTGGAGGATAAAAGTAATATTCTTCTTACATCTGTCGATCTTAGATCATCGTATTCTGTTCTTTCGATTAATGTATATATGTACATATATATAAATCTACTCATTCGTCCTTCTCTAGAATGTCAAACGTTTCATTAATTAACATAAGTTCAAATCCCTATTGACAAGATCTTATCACTCGAAGTTTGATAATAATAAAGCGAGTCATCATCATCATCATCATGCAAAAAGTTATTCGTTCGATTTGCAACATTATATTAAATAATAAAACGATCAATCTTTCTCTTTCTTCATCGCAAATAAGATATCTTATCATTTAAAAATTGAAATTTTAGAGTGCAAAAGATAATTTTTCAATTTGTGAATATAAATTACTTCATACATTGTAATAAGAAAAAAAAAATTAATTGATAGCAATAAGCCACACTACATGATATTTATTAAAATCATACATATATATATACAAATGTCACTGTGTGATTTGTTCCGCGTCAAAAACAAAAATGATGATTAATAAAAACAAATATCAAACATCATCTCTAAAATAGATGATAAATTATATATTTAAAAAAAATAATAACATTAATCAATTGATTTACCGAATATATTCAACATAGTTAGCTGGAATCATGCCTTTATCTCCAGTAGTATTTCTTGCTAGCCACCATAACGGTTCTACTTTTTTAATAATCATTAAAATTTGTCCTTTTTTAAATGGTAAATCTTCTTCATCCTATTAGAAAAGAAAAATTAATCAATTTATTTAAATAACAACAAAGAAAAAGCTAAATTTTTACTTTTCCATCAAATTTATATTTCGTTCGTACACGTAATTTAGGATACTATTAAAATGAATTCTTTATAGAAAAACTTGTTTCATTTTTTATTAATTAAATAAATAACTTACAATTCGAATAAGTGGTGATGTATCAAGTAAACGTTGTTTATAAAAGGTTAAAAGTTCTTTCATACTTGAAAATGTTTTATCACCAATTTTATATATTGATTGAGATAATTCTTGAGTTACATTGATTATATAATGACTTACTTTTGAACCTTCTCTATCAATATACAAATAACTATAATTAAATATAGAAAAAAAAGTATTTTATCATACTTAACACAAAGAACAAGGTCGCCTTTAATAGTTCCACTAGGACGTACAAGAAATGTACCATCCGATTGATTTTGTAATGCATTAATAGCATCATCACGACTGAAATCTTCGAAAAGCCAACTATTAAAAAGAAAAAAGAATTAAATAAGAAATAAATTAATTATTTGTTTTCAATATTTCCATTATTTACCTGTCTTCATCACTAGCATTAAAATCAGCTACAGGTGAAGTATCAGTAGCTGGTCTTTTACCGATAAGATCATTCATACCATGTAATCGATCTAAAAAATATATATATAGACATTGAATAGAATAAATCAATAATATTCATCCTTATTCAAATAGATATTGATGTTAGTATAAATAACTACCTGTTATAGTCATGTAGAAAGGTGTTGAGCTATTTTAGTGCTTGATCAATGTTGACAAAAGTAAGGATGATTAATTTTCGCGACGGGTGGGTAAATAAAGCAAAACGGTTAGGTGATGGTGGCGATAGTAATATAACCAAAGTCGATAAAAAAAAGAAAAAAATAGACAGAGAGAAACAGAGAGAAAGAGAGAGAGAGAGCGAAGGAAAAAGCGACTAGCGGTAGCCAAGATGAAGATGACGTGATCTTGTACAGGTCACCATCTTCTCTTTTCTTCTTTCTTCTCTCCTTTTTTTCTCGACTAATCGTTCTCTAAGCCGTCTCACACAAAAATAAATCTGTTATTCGCTCTTCGTCGCCACTTTCTCTTTCATTCCCCTTTCCTAAAGGACACCGGTTAGTAAATATCGCATAAAATTATCGTAAATGGAAAAAAAAAAGAAATGGAATAAAAAGATATGATACCATAGGCCTTATCGTTATAACATTTGTACGTTTTAGTTCAATCTTAAACTGTCATTATTATTTATAAAAATTGTGTCATTCATAGACACATAACTATTGCTATTGTTTAGTAAATGGACTATAAGACAATGTGCACAAAATCGATTAGATTGTATTGGTGTACATACGGTCAAATCTTTCTTTTTTTTTCTTTATTTATTCCCAATCGAACCGTTCTTTGACTAGACACAGAAAAGAAAAAAAAATAAGGGTGGAGAAACTATACTCAAGTGTATATGTGGATAGCTAATAACTATGATGATTTTTGCTATTTATTGGTTATCGGATGAATAAATCGATGACTTGGTTCATTGCTCAACAAATTCATAACATATATATACATCAAGAAAAGATCATGATGTAATAATAAAAATCATATACTTGCGTATCCAGACGTTGCCTATAATGTGAGGCAACAGCAGGAGGTGCTCATCTCTTATTGTATCATTTGTTCTCATTTGGAAATAGATAAAAGAATGTGTATATGTATGTTGACTATAGAATTTTTGTTATTAGAAAATTGATGACATGTCGTTTGGCGAACATCACTATTATGGCACATCATAGAAGTCTGTCAATCATTCATAGTAAAAAGCACTTTTAGTCCATCAATATCAAGGATAGATATACATAGATTTAGCGATAAACAGAAAATAGGTGATAGAATACAGGCCTTATGGGTTCGTAATCACACAAGAATATGCATATATATATATATATATATATATCTTATATCCTTGACGATGCTAAGTAAGTATTATTTATCTTTCCTCGAGGTGTACTAACAATAATGTTCATCTCATCCGTTTTCTTTTTCTTTCTTCTATTATTCTTTGCTTTGTAATATTGAACAGTTTATGATGATGGATAACAACAGATTTGTTTGATCGGCCGGTCAATAACTTTCAACAAAAGAATAGTTCATTAGCGTTCAATATATATACATACATACAAGGGCATTGACGAGCTTAGATGACCTTTTAAAAGCAATTAGACATTCCATTTAACTTCTATTTTTTGAAAGAATTCATTGAAGTCATTATCTACTTGATATTTCAAGTAATATAAAACAAAAAAGAAAAAGAAAAAAAGAACACTTGATTTAAGTGAATTATTTAAATATTAAACGGCAACATAAACCAATATTGCCTAGACAGACTTACGTAAATATATAAATAATATGTAGCTGATTATTCATCAGATTGAACAATACATATTTTTTCCAGATGAATGATTAATAAAATCTCATTATTATTCAAAATCATTGATGTGTGAACTAATGTATAAAATAGTCAAAAAATTTATTCCATATTTATTATGTTCTATTACGAATAAGACATATTATTTATTTAAATCAAATTACTAAAAGATTCTATGAAGAGATTCTCAGATAGGACATCGTGTATAGTTTGAGAAGCACTTCAATCATCTTTGAAAAAAAAAACCTTCATTGTATCAAATAAAACATATTTACTCTATAGCCGAACTATCCTGAAAAAAGTGCTTCATTTGATTGCATTTTTATTTGGAATAATACCCATAATAGAATCAAAGAGGATTCAGTATTAATTCAATAATTCGGTCAAGTCAATAGATAGTGACTTACGATGTTTCAGTAATCGACGTCCTGACACTTCTTTGTCTAATACTATATAAGACAAACATTTTTTAAATCCATCATCTTCATAAACTATGAAAAAAATACATAAAAACAGTGACTCGTGCCAAGAAAATTTTGCTGGAAAGTCATGAAATTTGCTAAAATTCAATAGAATTCTATTTTATTTGATTGGATAGAAACATGATGATATTTGTTCAATTTTGAAATATGAGAAAGTAATTATCTGAATCATACCTTGAACTATAGAAGATATATTCAAAAAAACCAATCACAACATTCAAATATTGTTTGATAATATGAGTCTTGGATAACGACAGCAGCAAAGCTTTTGGTCAAGGAAAGATGATCGAATCTTTGTCTTTCTGTGGTACCACCGTTATCAACAACTTTTAAAATTTTGCGGGAAGGCTCAATCCCCAGTAACGCTGTCACTAGTCTCAGGTAATTCAATGGAATACAGTCGATAATACTTATAAAAGAGAATATCTTACAAACAAAAGTTGGTATCTAGTTAATTAATTTCAAGTCTTAGTAAACATTTTTTCTATTGTATTATAGATAAATTCTTACTTCAATAAAATTTTCGTATTTTTATTAATTTTTTTTCTTTGTGTGAATACATATAACGACAATAAGAGAGAGATAGACACATTGAAAACAAAACGCATATGAAAATAAAATACATGGCAATTCTCAGAATTTCTGTGTGTGTTTTTTTTTCTTATAATTCTAACTTGAAATTCTTCAACAAATTTGTTATCAATAATTAACAAATAATAATTCGATCAAATGAAATTTTTCTGTTCCATAATAAATAAAGAACAAAAGAAAAAACAAAACAAACACAAAAGCAACATTGTCCAATATGAAAACTACTTTTTGTTATTGTCTTATTTAATTACGAATCATTTTTGATCGATCATTATCATCATATAATGGGAATATTTCAATATATCGTGCTCCTAAATATTTTTTATGAAATCTAAAATAATGAAATTTCTTTGTCAAGTTACAAAAAGAAAAACGAAAAAAAAAAGAAATATTTACGTCAAGGCTTCATTTGCTTCTTCACGTGAACCAAATTCAACAAACCATGTTGGTGGTCTACCACGTATTGTATTTTCTTGTTCAATTCGTATCGGTATAAGAGGATTGAAGAACTAGTAACAAAAAAAAAAACATAAATCAAGAAAAAATTGATTAATTTACTTGATAATAAATAATCTTACATCATGAATTTCTTTTTTACCAGCTTCAAATGGTACACCACGCAATTTCATTGTAAACGATGCAGCCAATGGTCCTATAATTACATGTTTCATATTTCTCAATCTTTTCAAATCTAAATTTCTTACGTTTAAGTGATCCACTATCATTATTACTCATTGGAAAATTATTTCCGTTTCTATCATCTGAATCAAAATCATTTGAAAGTGATGAATCATTACTGTATTGATTCATATTATCATTGTAATTACTACCGGTATTCCCACTACCAGTATTATTCATATAATTTCCTTGTCGTTGAAGTGCAGCATTAGCAGTTTTTTGTCGTACCATCAATTGTGTATCATTAATAATTGAGGTACGTGCTTCAGCATAAGTTGATTTGAATACTTCGATATAACTATGTGAGTAACAAAAATATAGATAATAGAAGAAAAAAGATTATATTATCAAGAATTTAATGTCAAAAAAAAAATATTCCAAACATGAGAGGTAATATGGAATTACTTTGATTTGAAAGACAAAAATAATTTTTTTTTTTTTTTTTTTATTTGATTATACTATGAAAAGAAGAAGTTTTTTGGAAAACAAGTACCAAGAGAAAACATTAGTGGAAGGAATTTTTTGCCGGACTGTTTACCGTACCGATGCCCCATATTCATGCGGTTGAATTCCAAAGCTCGTAGGGCATTGTCCATGTTCACAAAAGCGACGAAAGCCTCGCCTGCCGGTTTGCTCGAGGAGATGTGTACGCCATTCTGAGCTATGTCGAGTCCTACAAGGTGATTCAATCCCAAAAATACACAAAAAAGTAATCAGTTTCCTCCTTAAAAAACGGAAAGGAGATATCCAAAACAAAAAAAAAAAAACTTAAAATAATCAAATCTCTTTCTCTCCTTATCCATTCTCTCTTTATTTATCAATTTGTGCGTACCATCAAAAAATTTCATAACATCATTTTTGCTTGAATGATAAGGTAAACCACGTAAACGAACAACAGGTTCTTGCCAATTATCATTATTTGATGAATTATTTTGTGAATTTGATGAATTATTATTATTTATATTCTTCATCATATCAGACATGGCTTCAAAACTGGATTCAAATACTTCAATATAACCTTTATAAAAAGAAAAATATTAATAGAATTTATAGGTTATTGTGAAATTTTTCTTACGAGTTCCCAACATGTTTTTATCATAACTTTTGGCTAGATCAATATCTTCTTTCGTTTCAAGAACTACAAAACATTCACCAGTTGATCGACCTTGATCATTAGTTATAAATTGTATTCGTCGAACTTTACAACCTAAATTTATCTGTATTGATGTAAAATACGAAACAGAAAATAAACTATTTTTTAATAATTTTACCTCGAAGAAAATTTAGTATTTCACTTTGAGTTGTAGACCATGGCAAACCACGAAGACGAACAACAAAATTAGATACATTACATGAACCGTTCATTGTTATAGATGAATAAGTCTATAACTAAAAGTAATATTTATATATAACAAGTTATTGTCATTAAAATAACTCAAATA